TATTTATATGATAACATTGTTCCTTACGTACTTCGAAAGGTTTACCACCTTACCAATAGTATCAATGTTGTAGCAAAATTTTATACTCATCTTGAATTAAATGTGCAATAAAATTCTTCGACGAAATTTATTTAGAGAAGTTAATTCATGGTAATGCAAGAACAATCACAGGTCATCCCCTATTGTGCGTAGTTTGGATCATTAATTCTTTGCCCCTATTATGCATGGTTTGGATCCTTAATTCTTATTCCTAAAATTTTATATGATCTGAAATGAATTTGAGAAAATGGTGAACCTAACATCACTCGTTTTTGCAAGCACTTCTAAGTTACATGGATAGTGACGTCAAAAAAATGTTGGACATGGTGATTTAAAATTACTAATAATTTTTTTTAAAGGTCAATACGAGAGGAATATCCAATCAAATCAAAATTCAAAATATTCAATGAGCGTTATCTTGGCTAAAATTGGAAATTTACACTTGAAATTGGAAAAAAAAATTGTGTTTTATCTAGCTTTTGAGAGTCATAATCTATCTGCTATTTGATTATAATATATGTTATGTATATTCGTAAGATAGAAATTGCAATATATGTTATTTGAATTTTCTGGCATGGGCCGTATGGCTATGAATCATTTGAGATATTTACTTTGAGTAATTTTTTTTCGTATTTTACATTACGTTGTATGATATTTGATTTTACATATAACTATTTGTTAAAATTAGTGGCGGAGAGAGATGAAGATCAATATGGTCAGTGACGAATTTGAAATATTCATATTCCTAAAAGAGACTCCGTGCAATATCACCTCCACTGTAGTATTTCTTCATTTTCACACACTGCTTTACATCATCCAATCCAACTGATAAAGATAAGAAATTGAATGATTTAACAATTTAAACAAAAAAAATTACAGGTAAAAATAAAAAGAAATAAAAAAAGTTATTATAAATTTTTTAAAATAAATTGAAATGATTCAAAGTAAAATAAATATTATTTAATTAAAATTGAAAAAATTGCGTTTTAAACGAAAAGAATAAAAAAGAATTTTAAATAAAAAAAACATTTATAATATGAAGAAAAAAGAAATTTTCAAACAAATATAATAAAAACAAAATAAAAGAAAGTTACGAAAATTAAATAAATATTATTTAGTTAAAATTGAAAAATTAAGTTTTATTATGAAGAGAAAAAAAATTAAAAAGAATTTTAAATTGAAAATTTTTTTTATCTATAATATAAAAAAATAAAAAATCACGAAAAAAAAGTCTCCATGCATGGAGACCATGAGAAGTCTCCGTGCACGGAGAGTTTTTTTTTTTTTTTTTTTTTAATAACTTGAAGCAAATTTTTTATTTAGAAGTAACTCTTTATATTTTAGAAATATACTTAAAGCTTCAAGTTAATATTTTTTTTACTTATAATATAAGTAGCCTTTATAATTATAAGTTTTTTTTTTTTTTTACTTTTAAATAACTTGAAGCAATTTTTTCCTATAATTTATATAAGAGTGGTTGAGCACGGAGTGAACAGATGAGACTTGATGGGATGTATGGAACGTTGTGCGTTGCAGTAAATTTAGATTGCATCTTTTTTACTGTATAATAAAATATATATTAAGCAATGACTAACGATGTCGTTTTTGCTTCCCAACTTAAAAAAAATGATACAATAAGACAAAATTTAACAAAACACTGTTCACTTCAATAGTGTTTCCACGTTCCCCTTTTTATATGGTAAGGAAATTTCAGAGAAAGAAATAAGGATTAATCTAGCATAATTCTATAGTTACAAAAGTGGCAATTTTAATCTTCAATAGAGAAATATACAATTCGTAAGCTAATGAAAACACAATAGAAACAAAATTTGTACAATGCACGTGACAAAGACTAGTATCCATATATAATGTGAATATAACAACCTTGCAGGACTCTTTTATGGATCTGATGAGGACTTCTTGTGGTTGTACCTTCTCAAGGGTACAACAATTTATTTGTTCCTTTCAAATCAAATTAGAGCCTCCATTATGCCACGTCAGCGACATGTCTCTAGATGGTAGGAAACGTGCCACGTCATCTCACTGTGTTAAAAACTAATAATGAAAGGTTGGAGAAGCTTGGACACAAACAAAAATCTTTGCCTTGTACTCTGCAGTACATGAATTTGAGGATGTAATGCGTGCTTACACACCGATCAATTATATCATATTTTTTTCTTCTTTTAAAAAAAAATAATAATAATAAATTTAAATATAACATTTTAAGCATGTCTTTGGTACTCAAATTCTATGTGCATCGATTATGAATGTGTATATACACATTTTCCTTAGTATGTTCTATTGAATAGGGCAGCTGACAAATTTTATCACTTATCTCTTTCTTATCTTGAACACATTTCATTTGACGTTCTTAAGCTCTTGGTATTCAAATTGGACAAAGCAACGTATTTATAGTCGTGTCAAAGAAGTCATGTCTTGTTCTTCCCTCAAAGTTGTATTTTATATTTATGTATTCTACAAAGTAATGTCTGTTCCTTCATTGTGTAAGGGCTTTATGCAGTTTTCTAAAAGGCAATCTTAAAGCACAAATGAGTACACGAGTATAAATTGGTACAAAAGAAACCAACCCGTCTCATCCAAGATGAACAACATACCTCTTCTACAACAAGTACTATTTTCATACATTATTGCTTGTTAAAGTTAATAGCTCGTTGCTTTTAATGTACTACTTTGCTAGCTTTTCCTATGTATTATTGCTTGTCAAAGTTAATAGCTCGTTGCTTTTAATGTACTACTTTGCTGGATTTTCCTATACTTCTTGAATAAGATTTCAAGCGTCGTCGCATTCATATGAAAAGGAATACATATTAATAAAAAAATAAAAATAAATAAATAAGAAAGAAAGAAAGAGGGGGGGGGGGGGGGGGGGGGGAAAAAAAAAACAAAAAATTTTTGGGTTTAAAAAAAAGGTAAACTCAAAAAGTTTATGGATTTCAATCATAGGTTAATGAACATTGATACATAGAGAATCCCTTGTGTTCAAGTATCTTCTTTAGCACATGCACAACAAATAACAACCACACATTATATGATGTGATGTAGGCAGAGTATGTTGGGTATAATACATACGTCATATTCAAAAAAAGGTCGCAGGGTGCTTCAGGCTCCAAGAAGTCACAAAAAAGGGCCTCAATTTTGTTAGTGGACAGAAAATTAGAGCATGTTTGGTGGAGTTTAAATTGTAACTAAAGTTCATTTTAAATTTATTTTTTATTTATGTATTTCATGAAACTCATAATTTTCTAATTTTTATTTTTTGTATATTTCGTAAGATTCACTAAAAGTTAGATTAATTAGTCGATTCATTTTTTCCTTTTTACAGAAAGAAGAATAACTCAAAATTTTAGAAACAATTTTTAGAGTTGTACATGTTAGGGAACTATGAGATCATCTTTTGTATGAGTTGATGGAAGGATGATACATTTAAAAAAAAAAAAAAAAGGTTGAACCCCAACTTTGAGGGCCCCCACCGTCCCGTCCCTAGAGCTTTGTGAGGGAGATAAATCGCGGGATGTGCTCCAACAGGTCAGGAAACAAGAGCGGTTTGTACTCTGTGCTTACAAGGAGTCAAATTCCATGTCTCAGGAATTGAATCACCACACTACGACTGCCAGCAAGACGTGAGATAATCTCACTCATATCCTTTGCACCACTGGACTCTACCCCGAGGGGCAAGATGATACATTTTTAACTAGCTTTTTGCGAGGTCTATAAGAAATTGCAATCTATACATATTTTGAATTTTCTTCTGTTTTAATTTCTAAAGCAAATAATAGAAAGTCTGCATATTTTATGTTAAGATTGATTTATTTTTATTCATCTTTTAATGGGTATTTTTTTTTTTTTTTTAAGCATAAAATCCCAATTTTTCGTTGAAAATTCGTTCCATATCTTCAAGGAAATTTTGAAATAGAGGTCCCCAAACCTTTCGTAAATTTGCAGTCAATTCCAAAACCTTCTAATCTTAGCACCAATATTCCAAATCCTTTAATAAATGTTCGCCAAAAAAGACTTCTAACAAATTTTATCCAAAATTCTGCTAACTGACCAAAAGTCAAATCTTTGATATTAATTTGACCAATATAATGTAGGGTAAATTGAAAGCTATCCATATCTTCAAGGAAATTTTGAAATAGAGGTCCCCAAACCTTTCGTAAATTTGCAGTCAATTCCAAAACCTTCTAATCTTAGCACCAATATTCCAAATCCTTTAATAAATGTTCGCCAAAAAAGACTTCTAACAAATTTTATCCAAAATTCTGCTAACTGACCAAAAGTCAAATCTTTGATATTAATTTGACCAATATAATGTAGGGTAAATTGAAAGCTAATCTACCACAGGTATAAATTGTCTATTTAATTTTCCAAATTATTGTACACTCTTTCAAGGTTCACTGTTTTTAGTCTTTGTCTGAGTCCCATTTTTGTAAGAAAATGTATTGTGGAATAGTTATTTTTTTAGAAAATGTATGGTTAATAAAAAAGAAAAAAATTTGGATTTTCGTGTAAAATTATTTTGTGGAAGAATGCATGATTGAAAAAGAGTTTTGAAATAACGAGTTTTTAAAAAATGAGGAAACAAACATAGACTTAATCAAATCCTCAATCGAGCGATCATTTGAGAGCAACAAATTACTATCAATTATCAACTTAATTTACCATTGAGCTAAGTGTAAGCCATGACTTCATCTTCTTAACCACTAGACTGTACTCCAACAATTTGGAATAAAAGCACCAAATCTTGGAAAAGCCAAAATTGGCCAATGTACAAAGGAGTAAGGACCACTTAAAAATTCAGACAGCCCTACACTTGTATGGTAAAATTAAGTGCCAACAAGGCAAAACGCCAATGTCCTCTAATCAAAATTCATCACCCAATTAAATGCTTAATTAAAGCTTAAAATCTACTTAATACAGATCATATGATCAGCTTATATAATAAACCATGTTACTCTGAGAATCACAATCTTATATTCACATCCTAGTTGTCCTCAAATTTCCTCAAAATATTGTCTTCATCTGTACTGCAAATAGGCCTAAAACTGCAAGAAAAATAGCCAAAAAACAGGAAGAATCTTTAGTAATACAGACAGCACAGAAAGATGATCCACTGATTTGCTGTCCATTTTGACCCAATAAATATATTATCGACCCTAACATGCAGGTCAGCTATGATTTGTAATTTTGCCATCAAAATATTCACTTCAAGATTTGATATGAATCAATCTTTCTCATTTGTACATAACAGATCCTTCAATGGCTTTTCAAGATAGCAGATGAACATCCAAGAGAGCCCAATTCTAGTCACACCACCAAGAAACAAGGTGTTCGTCATGGTAAGACGAGGGTATATTGAACAAGATTTTAGCTTCTTTGTACGAATACTAAGTTTGTAGTTTGTTCGTTTTGCAGACCAGAAAGTTCAGTCAAGAGATGTAGTCGTGTTCACGGCTAGGAAAAGACATCGAAAAAGAGTAGAAAAAAGCAAATTGAACTGCAATAACTTGAATCTGTTCTATATATTTCGCAAAAAGGACATTGCAAAGGCTTGTTTCTATCACTTCTTGAATTTGAAAAGGTTGGGGAGTTTTAGGAGAAGGCAGCAGCATTCAAGGCATCCAATGAAGATGAAAAAAGAAGACTTTGCAAGAGGGCTAGGAATTACTCACAAAACAGATTCTGGTTCTCATGTAGGCAATAAGGTTTTGCCAATTACTGATACAGCAAAGGCGTCGACTACAAATAACATGAACGAATACTCTAATGTCAAAAAGAAAGAAAAATCGAAGGGCGATAAGAATAAAACCGTTTCTAAGATGAAGGAACTGCTGAAATGGGCAGCTGCAGCCAAGTCTGAGAAGGGGGGAAAGTACATTGGGAGAAAGGTACGTAAAGTTTTGTGTACTGTATCGTCCAGTTATATTTAATACTGTGTGCTAAAAAAAGTCCTTCATGGTTTTAGGTCTTGCAGTTTCGAAATCGAGCAGCTTTAAAAGCTGAACCAGATGATGATCAACTAAGCAAAGAATCCCCTAAGATCAGTTTCAGATGGGATTTAGAGAGTTGCTCCACTACTGCTTCCTC